GATCAAAGAATGACATTTTCTATTTCTTCGGTAAAAAGTCGCTGGCAAGTGTGGTCAAAGTGCCGGCTGCCACCAGCCAGCTGCTATTTTGAACCCTGACAAGTGTAGAATGATCGCAAAAATCTTTGGAATTTCAGGTTAGATTGGATTAGTCAGTTTATACAGTCATGCTATATTTTAGGTGGGCAGGGAGATTGGGGGAAGGGGGTGCATTGTGGAAATGTCTCAGTTAACAATAATGCCAATGGTTTTTGTTTCAAAAGGCATACAATACACATATATCCTATACCTGCCAACTCTCACGCCTGCGGGTTGAAAACTTCGATCTCACGCCAGCTCACGCTTGTGGGCCAATTTCTCACGCCTGATCGAAAAATGTGAGTTGTTGCCGTCTTTCTTGACACAATTTCCAAAAAAATGTTAACTCAGACCCATGTAAGGAACGAAAACCATGTGTAAAATGAATAAATGACAATACCTTCCTCGCCATCTCTGATTTTGTGGATAAGCGTTTTCTCGATAACTTTGCCTTTGGCAGACTTCGGACGTCTTCGGAAGACTTCGGACTTCTTCGGGAATCTTCGGAAATGATCGTGTCGTCTCCAAAAATCCCAGCACTCCCAGGATAAAAATCTCACGCTTATATCTCAGAAAAAGTTTGCAGGAATAATATCCCTATCCTATTCCACAGGTTAGAGTAGCTATACGGCCAGGCTGGAAAAAGTTTAATTATAATCTAGACTTTTCAAAATATCAAACCATTGCATCGTGCAGTCAGCAGCCCAATGACCCCCCCGTCTGCCATGAAGGACTTGTCTAATGAAGTGCTTAATCTGCACACCATGAGAAAGATAGGAGACATCAATTCACCCTTTTGGATGACCCTATATGACAAAAGATCGCGCTTTTAATTACTTTTAATCCATGTTTACAATTATACTTATTTCTATTTAAATACGCATACAACAAAATTCTCCAAACACCTTGGTACAATATTTCGTAAGTATAACACTATGCTAGGGGAGGACTTTCAGATCAACGGCTCGAGGATGAGTGGCTGCAGCTCCTATAAAAATGTTCTGCAACTGGTATAGAATTAAATGGAACCAAAATTTGAAATATGTAGAATTGCACACATGCATTTGAGGTATCTTACTGAACTACTGTTGTAACATGACAGATGTTTGCAGAAGCAACATCACCTACAGTCTGATGATTTACCTTTATCCAAGTCACTTGTTACTTGAGGATGATTGACAATGTACTTCACTATTTCTGAGTGAGTAAGCTCTTTCACAAATGGCCAGTAACCAAATTCCACTCTCTCCAACCTGTAAGATAAGAGTCCTAAATATCATGACCACTAGTTTCATCATTTTTTCAAAAAGTATATTTTAAAATCATTAACAACTAAACATGTACATGAATTTGAGAGAAAAAAAAATATTTCTTTGTAATGGTGTACCAATCATTGATTATAATCAATCACTGATCAGGAACCTTAAGCAACTTGCAATAATCAAATAATGTAAAATGTTTGATTATCACAGAAAAATAAAAGTATTGTCGACAAAAATGAACATTAACACTGTGAATAAACAATTAGAATTTTCTAATAAAATATTATCATATGGCTACAATAGTATGAACGCTCTGATTTGCTGCTAAGCGGGCATTATTTCTTGTACTGGCCTGGTATTAATAGCTGGGCGTCCAAGGCATATACAATCTGTGTTTAAGTTGATAGTGGACATCCTTATGGACATTCAAGTAGTATAGAAAGTGACATCCTCGGAGACCCAGGGGCAGTCAGTCAGGTCGGGAGAAAGGGTGGGACGAAAGTTTTCTGGTACAGTTGAGAGAGCCCCTGTGTACTGACTCTTACTGAGCTATTTCCAAAAATTCAAGCAAATGCCGGCTCCTGATTGGGCACAAAAAATGCTTTGTATCATTGTGCCCAATCGATGAACAGTTTCTTCTGAGTTCTTTTCGTGAGTTTGTACACGACAGCTATTGTCTTGCCAGCAAGGGAAACTTTTATTTTCTACTTAATCCTAACCAGAAACGAAAAGGAACTACCGATGAGTCGAAAAAACGTTTGGGGTGCTATCAGCAGGGGCAATTCAATTTGCCCCGAGAATATTCTGTTTTTGACTCATCACAATATATCATAAGTAATAGGAAGTTTAAGATGCGGCCGCAATGAGAAAGTCAAATAAGCAATGGTTGGTTGTCTTTACATTAGGCTGTTAAGTAAGACTTAAGAGCTGCTAAGTTTTACTTAACCAAAAATTCGTGAGTGAAGGCCTAAGTAAATCTCAAGTAACTTTACTTTGCATCTCATTAAAGTCGGAAAGTTGAAACAATTCAAGAAAGTTTCAAGCGACTTGAAAACCATTAAGTGACTTGCGGTTACTTGGGGTTTCTTGAGCTTTGGGAAAGGTGAAACATGTCAATCAATCATAATTATGTTGCATGGGAAAATAGCCTTAAGTTAACCTGAAGTAACAAAGAATCGGTTTTGTGTGAAACTTTATTTTACTTGAAGTAATTAAAATTCACTTGTCTTGAAATGTTTCTTAGCTTACTTAGGCTCTTGTGTGAAGACTACCAATAGCTTGACAAGGCAAAAAAAACTTTGCACGTGCATCACACCTTTTTGTACATTTCTTTGCCGTCAACTGCACGACTACCTGTGAAAATGCCTAATCAGTCATGTTTTGTGAAGGACGTAAACAAGCAATGACAAAATTCATTCTCTTCATGAACTTGGATATGGTTGATAGAAATTCAGCTCCAGAAGAGTTCGCTTGCATTTGACAAAGTAAGCGAGCTGGAATTATCACGATAGAAACTGAAAAAATGTGAATTCCTTTTTCCATGCAACGTTTTCGTGGTTGTCAGTCATTGTGGGATCTTTTAAAAACTCCCTAGTATTTACGCAAGACATGACAGATGCAAGCGTGAATACCTGTTGTAAGCTCAAGCTTGTATTTTTGGAAAAGTGTCTTTAGTTTTTGGGCAGACAGTATTTTGAAACCAGATGGGGATTTTATATCAAACTGAAAGTTTCCTGACTGCGTGCATTCTTTGGTGCATGAGCCAGACAAGCCCTGATGGAGACAACAGCCGTCGTGTACGAACTCACGAAAAGAACTCAGGAGAAACTGTTTGCCAATTGGGCACAATAATACAAAGCATTTTTTGTGCCCAATCAGGAGCCGGCATCCGCTGGAATTTTTGGAAATAGCTTGGTGAGAGTCGGTACCCAGGGGCTCTTTCACCCGTACTTGAAAACTTTCGTCCCACCCTTTCTCCCGACCAGACTGACTGCCCCTGGGTCTCCAAGGATGAGAAAGTGATAGTCCTGTTACAACCTGTCCCAAGCAGCCGAGTATAACCAGGCTGTGAACAGGACTGTCACTTCCTATACTATGCTGGCTGAGGCCAGCATGGGTGGTGTGGGCGATGTGGGCCGCGGTTCTCTGAACCGGTTTAAGCCAGCCTAAAATGGGTGGCGGCTCGCATTGGTCGGCTGCTTGGGACAGGCTGTGAACAGAACCACTACTTTCGATACTACACTTGTGAACCATCATTGTGGACAGCAGTCAAAAATCAAATCAAAATAAACAGCAACCTGAGTGAAACAGAAATTTCACTTCAATACATGGCCCCAAATGTAAAAGAATTTTCACTCTTTACAATCAATGGTACTGGCGATTTTTGGCACACCTTGGAATGTTGCTGCATCAAAAAAAGTCAGCCGGCACGAAGGGCTGCAAGCAGGCCAGCACAGTGAACAGTATTTTCGCATTGGATGCAGTAAAAGTGATAAGTTTTTTTTCAAATGTAGCAAGAGAAACAAATGTTTCAAAAACTGTAATGGAAAGGCATATGGTAAAGAAAAAAGCTGAGAGAAGCAGTTTAATAATGCAACAAGGAAAGGCAAAACAAAGGCTGACAGAGCCTACCAAACAGCTTGTAACAAAAGAGGAGGAAATAAAGATTACTAACCAAGCTATTAGTCACTTGGAAGAGGCTATGTGTTAAGGGAAAGACAATGAGGATGAAGTTGAGCCAAATGAGGATCATCCCTTGGAGTGGGAAGAATAAGGACATCAGCTGAAGGAAAAGGAAACATTGATATCGAAATGCAAAAAGAGAAAATTGCCAGAGAAATGATATTTAAAGTTCAGTTAGAAGAAAAGGACGTTGATTTGCTGGCTTTAGAGGATTATGACAGTGCATCTAATTAAGAGAATTTGGTTGTAAAGTATGAGTGTGACCCAAGATTCTCTCTTGAACCTCAACTACCAAAACAAGAACGAACAGCCAATTAGGTTGCCAACTGTCAGCAGGAGACTAAGCCACTGAACCCTAAAGCCGTCAAATTTCCTCTACAGTTGGGCATGAATTCAACACAGGTGGTTTTGTTGAGAGTTACAACACTTCAAGCAATGCAGGCGGTAAAATTTAATTGAAGTGGAGCAGACTTTTCAGTCTTTAGAAGAAGGATTCAAGACAACTTGGAAGATGGCTTATTAACTGATGTTCAGCAAATCGAATTTCTACCGAAGTTTGTGACAGGTGAAGCATATGATGTTGTAGCAAGATCTGCAGGGTGCCCATATAAAGATATTGTTGCAAATTTAGAAGATCGCTATGGCCAACCAGCTACGGTCACGGCTGCCTGCATTCAAGAGTTGACAGTGGGACCAAAACTGGGAAAAAGAGATTTCAAGGGTCTACGTAACTTTGCAGAACAACTCCAGTGTGCCATCAAGAGATTACAGGGGACTATGAACGCGAAGCAAGCACTACCGCAAGTATGAAGTTAATCACTGGCAGACTGCCCGTCTACTTGATCAACAAGTGGGCTGACATATTATCGTATTCCATTTAGAGAAAAGGGACAGAATCCAGGTCTGGAAGACCTTGCCAATTTTGTCTAACGACAAGCTGCGATTAAGAATGACCCAGGATTTGCAGGTGCTGTTGCGATGACAACCACCGAGAAAAGAGCAAACAGAAAGAAACCACCAAATGGAACAAACGACCCTTCAAATCCAAGGCGGACTTCATCCTTTGTAACTGATTTCACCGCAAAAGACACTGGAAGACTTGGAACAGGTGATAGACAGAGTAAGCCCCCAGCGAGCATGCAGAACTGTTTGTGCTACTCAGGATCACTCAAACTGGCTTCATGCCTGAATTACAAAACAAAGATCTCCAAAGCCGCTGGGATATTGTCAAACATCATAGGTTGTGTCCTGTTTGTATGAGACCCTCACATCATGCATAGAGACAGGTGTGAATCCCAAAGGTTATGTCCATGTGGGAGTGACAAAACAACACCACAGACTTCTTCACAACCACCCAAGGAGGGACACTGCTGAAACCAACGGAAGGAATCAAACCTGTGAAGGAGGACAACAACCTCCCGGGAAAGACACCAATCCCAGAGAATGGTGAGCAGCCAAACTCTACTGAAGTTAGCAGCACAGTGCAGTATGCAACCGTGACAGAGCCAACCAAGAAGAAGACCATCCTGCTTCATGTCATACCTGTAAAAATCTCATCGTCAGATGTGAAGTCCATCACCACTTATGGATTGATAGACAATGGCTCAAGTGCAGTGCTTGACTTTCAGAAAAAAATCTTGGGACCAGCTGCCCCCAAATTTTCATTTTTGGTCGCCAGAACAAGTTACAAGTCGCCAAAAATTATTTTAAGAGTTAATGGAATACAACATATAAACTTAACATCTTTTACTTAGCCTTAACAGAAAAAGAATGCTTTAGACTTCCTTTGCACTTTCTTTCGAACGGTTTTTGATCGAGGCTCGATTACCAGCTGGTGTTCGGGAAAATGAGCCCACACTCAAGTGTAAATCTCCTCAAACAGGTATTCAAGCAATGGAATACACATTTAGATAAACAGACTTTAGGAATCACAAAAAAACCTATCTGGGTTATTAAAGAACAAAATCTGCAAACATTTGTGTTGCGTCCCATGTATTTGCATGTTCAGAAATGAACATCAGTGAAACTTGATCTATTTCGCTGCCTAGTGATGGAAAGTCTCCAGAAAGAGGAAATGTCGCTAATGTTTTCGCACAAAGAAGTTTATTTTGCGAGCAGTCTGTTTTGTTAGACAAACAGCATGACTTCAACGGTACTTCATTAGAAGTCAATAAAATACAGCAGAGTTTTATTTGGGTTGTCACGCTCAATTGAAATGTGCATAAAGTTATTTTCAGCAAGCTCAAGAAATAAGTGCCGTTCACTCTCAATTAGCTTTGGTTTTCATCAGACATAACCTGCTGTCGAGTCGGCAATCGAGATACATGTTTGACAGAAAGAAATTGATCGATGTGGTAAGAGTCATTCCCGGAGAAACACAGGACAACCTGTTGAGAACTGCAATCGATTTGCCCGAAAGTCGATAAGAATTGAATTCATCACTTGTGATTTTCACAATCCTCTTTCGAGTAAAAGTCCAACGTTAGACAAACCAACTATTAGGTTGTAAAAACAATCCATTAGTGTTGGAAGAAATTGTTAAGGCGTCTAGACAAATCATTAGAGGGTCTGGACAAACCGTTAGAGTGTTTGGGCAAAATGTTAGAGCGTTACAAAAACTGTTAGCTATCCGTTAGTTTTGTAAAGGATAACACATTATCATTAACAACAACAACAACAACGTATTTATTTAAAGAAATATAAAGTTTACAATACTTCATGTCCTGCAAATAGCTACGATGCTAATCTAGGCAGGACAAGACTTTAACTAAAGGCGTTATTAAATTACATAAGAAAAAAGAAAAGAAGTGTATGTTAGTGTATGTTAGTGTATGTTTTCCTAAAGAAGAAAGTCACTATCTTGAGGGCCAGGTTGGTGACCAGGCATCAAATTTAGTTGCCACTGAGTAAAACCTGGTCGCATTGGCGACCCCACAGGTCGCAACATCAAGCTCTGAAGTGCAACCATGATCAGTTCCGACGTCGCCAAGGAACTTGACCTGAAAGGTCGAAAGGAGGTGGTGTCTGTTAGCACGCTTTTGCAGCAAGAAGATGAAGAGTTTGAAGTTGTGCAATTCAAGTTGCAGTCCGCTAGTGGACAAGGAGAAGTCATTACTGTTGAAGAAGGGCTTGTAACAGAGAAGATCAACATCACAGAGAACTGCCTTTCAGAAGATATTGACAGCAGATTACACTCACACCTAGTAGACATTGTAAGAGTATACTGTTCATAGTAGGACAGAAAGTGCTAACTTTGATTGTTACAGATGGATGCAAGTAAAATTTTCTTAAGTCACATGTGTCTTGAAACCTCTTGCTTTTACACACATCACAACAGCAACCTAATATTTCTAAAAGCAGTTACAATTGTGAAAGCAAAGGGAAACAGTCATGATTATTATACCAAAGGTTTTTCTAAGACTATTAAATTCAATAAAAAGAGAATTTTAAATAAGAAACTTCATCTGCACTACAGCGTAAGTCACAAAAGCAAATTTCAAGACAAGTGCTTGTTTGTTTACTCTTTTCGGCAGAAATTTTTTGCCTAGAGCCGGTTACCAAAAGTTGCTCATTTCAAAAGCACAGAATGAGAAGGGAATTTTGTTGTGCGTTCACTGGAGGTTAGCACAGAGGCTATTCAATAAAGGATTTGGTTTGTACAATAGTTATATTTTAGGTACCTTTTGTTTTTAATACTTTAGTGTTATTCTGCATCAACTTGCACACTATTAAAGTGTGTCATCGATCACACTCAACTAAAACAAAGAGTTAGCGTACTACCTACACCAAAAACAATACATTGCGTGTCCTTGATTGTTTCAGTAATAAAATATGAACACAAGGTGTGTTTTTGGACACACTAAGCCTGTTATGCTAGCATGTTGTCAGCATCTATCACTGTTGTCCCTGAAATCGTATGGAAGGTCACAAATCAAGCAAATTTACATTTGGAACCCCATGACAACCAGATTTATTATGTGAACATTGATGGACTGTACGTCATCAGTGTGAAATTTCTGTCACTATTAAGGTGCACTGACAAGGGTATAGCCATGCTTAGATAAAACACAAATTCTGCAACATAGTAGGGCTTTAGGTAGTCTGGTAGGCAGGATCTGACATTGTGTCAGTATGAACACCAAACTTTCAAAGTATCTGGACAATTTAGGAAACCTGGCTATGGCAAACTGTCCAAGTATACGTCCAAGTTGGTAATCATTGACTATCTTTCACTAACTAACGATTCAAAAAATGCAAAATAATTATTTTTACCCATGAAGTAAAATGTTGTCAAGAAGATCCAACAGACACTGAACATGAATGTTGCTTTTAGTAATATGAATTGTGTCTTCACCATAGGAGGCTCCCTGCTGACTGATTTGTAACTGAAAAAAAAAACAAGTAAATGTATTGATGACTAATGACTCACGAGGGGTTATACCAGTAATACAAGGTGTGAGTACCACAAAAATCTGAAGTAATAAGTCAATAATTGGCTCCTGAAGCCAATCTGTGAAGAATTGCACAGTAAAACCTCTAACAGGAGTTAGAGTCAATTCTTTCTTGCCTTTAAAAAACTTACACTAACAATGTACAGAAGTCAGTGCATTTACATGTACAATAACATATAAGCACTGATGGTCAGTGCAAATTTCTGCATGCAAAAAATTAATGGTTATTGTTTTTTCCTCATGAAATATCATTCTTTTCTTGAAATCCTTTCCAGTGATGACTATTCAAAAATAGGCAGGTACAAAAGTCAGACCGGATCGACTCGGATCGCCTGTCTGGGTCGGATCAACTCGGATCGACTCGGATCAAATAAAAAAATAAAAATAAATAAAAGTGGACTCGGATCAACTCGGATCAACAAAAAAAAAATTTAATTAGCAAAAACTGAAAATTTAACCCATTTGGAGGGTAAAAAAGGCCAGATAATCCTTTTTTTTCTCAGTAGCTTTCAGCAGCCATTCTGTTTTACTAGTGCCAGTTCCTCTCGGATCATGTTATGAACTCGTTGTTACGTTACACGACGCACGCGTTCTGTTTCAAGGACACAGATATAGATGACCGAAAGGAAGGTAAAATCTCGACCATTTGCTTCATTCCAAGGAAGTCGTCTAGAATGTATATACTTGCTTATGTTTTAGTGTACTGAATTATTTACGAGAAAAGCATCAAAGGTCTGGTCTGTTGATCGCATTTAGATAGTTACCGAAGAGTCAGACTGAAGAGTGTTCTCATTCCTGTTTGTTTTTTCTGCAGGACTTCTGAAACTTGATTTAAATGATACACAAGTGAGCAGCACACGTACATTTCCAGTGAACATTTTAAATTTGGAAGGAGGAGAAACCATGCTTGCCCGGGACAAAGGAAATTTTCATGCCCCGGGCAAGAATCAAACTCGCGACCCTCCGGTTCAGTAGTTAGAACATCCGATATTTATAGTATTCAGAGGGTCGCAAGTTCGCGATTCTCGCCCAGGGTACGCAAAGTTTTGTTGTCCCAGGCGAGCATGGTTTCTCCTCCTTTCAAGTTAAAAATGTTCACTGGAAGTGTGTGTGTGCTGCTCACTGGTGTATCATTAAAATATTAATAACAATAAAAATAAAATTACTTTACGCAACCACGAGTTCGTGAGAAAAAAACAAATTGACGGGTGAAAGGTAAGTGACGCCGATTGATTTTATATGATCGATTTTATATGATCCGAGTTGATTTTTTTATGATCCGAGTTGATCCTAGTCCAATTTTATTTTATTTTTATTTTTTTATTCGATCCGAGTCGATCCGAGTTGATCTGACCCGGACTGGCGGTCCAAGTTGATCCTGTCCGACTTTTGTCCCTGCCTATTCAAACATCTGGGTTTCTTAAAACTCAAAACACAAACTTCATACTTCAGACTCAATTCTCACGTTTCAAAACTCAATTCATTTGTTCTTTGAAAGCAATAATCAAACTTATTTTTGTGTGGCACTGTATGGTGACTTCATGACTAATCTTTTTCACATTGAAACATGAAGCTTAGAAGATTTACAAAGATTGAGGGCTGTACAAATGTATGCGTATGCATGTAAACTCTAAGATTAGTACAAGAAAGCTATTAACCAACTTACTCCCTTTATTTGCTCTGCAATCTGATTAAGAATCTCATCCTTTAACTGACAACTCCTTGAAGACATCAGTGGCCATCAAGTCAAAACTCCTGTACTAAAACATAATATGACACACAAACTGTAAAAAACCGTGCTACAGTTGAGGCTCCTCTTTCACTCACCTGTGAAAGCTACAAACCCCCTCATAATTATTTAAAATGTAAGTGAGTGCATGACTATGATTGGTAATAACTGAGTTGTCGTTTTCTTTGTGTTTAAGCTTGTACAAGTGACCAATCAAAGATCTTATTTTCATAATAGTTAACACCTACTGCTGTAGTACAAAGTATATGTTTCAGATCAAAATTTAGTAATTCAGGTTAAATTTTTAATAACCGAGGTTGATTCTCAATTTCCTTTGTCTCCTAGCCCAGATTATTCTTGAATTAGACAGGAGACAAAGAAAAATGAGAATCAACCTAGGTTAAAAAATTTTAACCTGAATTATTTT